AGTTAAATGGGAATATCTTGCTTGAACAACATGTTCAAAGCACGTGTAGCCCACTAGTATATTAATTTTTATGTTAATAACAAGTCTTGTGTTTTGTATATTATGATACATTTGTGCTACTATGATATTGTAGCATAAAAGCAACGTGCTACATGTAACCAATCGATAAACTGGTTATGGACTTGAATGGGGGAACACTTTATCTCAACCGTCCATTGTTGGAAAGTAACAGTTTAGATGACCTGTTTTCTATTATTTAAAATATATCAGGGCATTCCTTGCTGTAATTTCTTTATATAACATAGGCGCATGGATACTTTTGTAGCATTCAGATATGTCTTGTCCTGCATTTCATTCTTTTTGGTTCCATTTTGGATATGCTGAGTACATATTGACTCAAGTAGACGTGTTCTGTCCTTGTAAAATAGGGTTTTTCTATCGATTATCGCAACTTCATAGTCATCATGCACATATTTTGAACTTGCATTGTTGTATATCTCATGTGGTATTTGTCAAACATTCAATACTTTGATCATTGAACAGCATTTATTTTGTTAAATTCTTTCTGTGAAATTTAAAAAATGTAAGGTAACTTCTAGTCTATGATCTCTTGGTTGATAAAATTTGTATTTACTTCAATATTACTGTCGTACCATGGGGCAATACTACCGCCATGGCCCCAGGCCATTCTCAAGTGCTTCTTCATACATCTCTGTAAACTAGTGCACATCTCATATTTATCAAAAAAAAGAAAAGAGGAAAATGCAAAAATTTTGTACTCGATTATTTCTTATGGAAGGAATCCCAATTAACACAGTGTAAAAAAAAAGAAAAGAGGAAAATGCAAAAATTTTGTACTCGATTATTTCTTATGGAAGGAATCCCAATTAACACAGTGTATTTGTTTCATTAACTACGCAGTTGTCATGGCCTGGAAGCAGAGAGTTCAAGTCCATGTCTCAGGAAAACTTTACAACTGCCTCATTCCTTCCAGATGTTATAAGTCAAAAGCTGAGTGGCAAAAGCTTCGACCTATGATCCTTGAAAGACTAAGAAGTAGGGCCAAGGATTATCCTGTGAGAAACATGGTCCCTGTTGCTAATGATGTCCTTAAGGCTAGAGGGGAAGTTGTTGATGGTGTTTCTACCCTTATAAAGTTTATTCCAGTAAAGGCATGCAAGTAAGTCCATCTGTTTTTTAAGATTTTATTCCCATCATTTGTTATAACTTTTTCATTCTATTATATATGTAAAAGTGGGCATGCTTTCGATTCACATAGTATTACTCTATTGAATGTTTTCAATTTTTAACAAACGGCAAACAATGATCAAATAAAATGAAAAAGAAAAAGAAAAAGAAAATTCAAGCTTGCAAGTAATTTGGTGAAACCTACTTGGTGCCTTCCGGGACCAACCATCCCACATGCCATCAACCAGTCCACCTGGCATGGACCTTAATGGGGAGTGGTTGATTTAGACCATATTGTAATAGTCCATCTTACTGTCAGAGAAACTACTATACCTGTGGTTGAGCGCATATATACATTCCAATGTGTTTGTGCACACATCTTGATAGCATACTTTTGTGTTTGTTTATGGCCTGTCTCAAAGACACAAGACGTGTGTAGTTTGTGTTTAACAAGGTCGATGTCTGACAGCTGTTTTCTTTTTTCACACTCTGACAGGAAAGAGAGGCTGTCTTTCTGTGGGTTGGTAGTAACGGAATGGTTTCATTATCCAAAATGAAGAACATTTCCCACCAAAAGATCAAAATGTTTCCAACTTTTAGACTTCCATATAATGCTAACGTGTCACCATGTGTACATATTGGCAATTGTGTATTCATATATATAATTAGTATATTTCATTCAAATTGTTTCAAAATGAATGAAAATTAAATATGTATCTCGAACTACTAGACATGCATATGCAAAATTACTGACATATGTGCGGGCATATGCTCTGGAAATTGGTGAAGTGTGTCTTGTATTCTAGACACTCATAATGATGGCCAAGATGCAGCCCTGGCCTGCTTGACACAAAACAAGGAGAAAAAGAAAAAAAGGCACAGTGGCCTTTCCGAGAAGTGTTAACTAGCTTTTCTCAAGTGTTGACAGCATTTTTGAGTTTGGTGTGTGGGTGTGTGTGAGGAGGGGTGTGTGTGTGTGTGTGTGAGAGAGAGAGAGAGAGAGAGAGAGAGATTATTCTCTTTCTTGTACACATTTTAAAAGATGATGGGTCACAACCCCATAGCCATTTGTGAGAAATGTTGGACCGGCCATTCCCTAGATTAAATGTGGCTTTGGGAGTACGGACGTTAAATTTCTCTATGTGTTATGTTTTATCTTTCCATCAATACAATGTTAACATTATAAAACATAAATAAAAATCTCTGTGATTAATTCTGATTGAAGAATATTTAATCCTTTGAAATTTTTTCAGAACATGGACTTGAATAATTCTTCCTTTCTTTTTTATTAATATGCAAATGTTGTTTCCTCTTTTATGATGGATATGCATTTATTCTTTCTTTCCTTGAAAAATATAAAGAATGGCGGTGGTTTAACCTATTGACCGACTCCAATTGGCTTAGTATCATGCTTACCCAACATGGGCCACAATCCCGATGCAAGACCATAGAATCATGTTGTTGGAGCAGGATTGCCGCCCATGTAAGGAGAGAGCGGTAACAAATCAATATGTTCATATCTATTTGGGTCTTACTTTAATTTGGTCAAGAAAAAGAAATATTTTGATTCTGTCTGCTTTGGGAAAGTCTTAGTTCAGTTTGAGGCATGCTTTACTTTGCCAAGGAAAGATAAATGCTTCCCTAAAGAAACAATTAGAATATCTGACTGTTTGGCCCTTTTACCACTGAAATCATCTAGCTCATTGTTAACTATTCTTTCTTGGAGATAAAGGAAGATATTGAACCGATTGACCCGCATGACATGAAGTTTGAACTAACTATGGTGATGAAGCTTTTGATGCTTTTTGGGTAAGTTTGAAGTCTATGGTACCTGAGTTGCTGTAACTGAATATATTGAGAAACTTACTCTGCAGCAAAACATGAGACAATGGCTGGTTCGAATGCAATCCAAACCAAAACGTTCATGAAATTTATAGCCTCTCTTGCCTCTCTCAACTTGCTTCCATCATGTGAGATGCCTAATATAGCGAATGTTATGAATATATATGTAGGGCAAGACGGATGGTTTTGAGAATGGGCTAGGGACTTGGTGGTGGTACCATTGAACCTTATGATAAAGTCTCTTGACTCTATTCTCACTATAGGGTAGGGGCTCAAATCCCCACTGACTTATCTTTACTTACCCAAAAAAGGATAGATGATTTCCACATGAGGGTTTTGAGTGTTTGATTATGGAACTAAGATTAAGGTTAAAGGATGTATATGTTTTGAGTGGTTAGGGCCCTAGGTTTATTAGCTTTATAAGCTAGGCATGAGAAGGTTTAGAGTGTTGTGATAGGTCTTACATGTGTCGGCATTTGATGGACTGTTGCACATGTGCCCTATTAGGGTTAGGTAGCATGGGAATGATTGATGAGGTGTCATAGACGGTTGTGGAAGGTTGGGGTTGATGAGAGGGTGTGGCTAGTCTCGGATGGATAGAAGGATATAGAAGACTGTGTGGGGTAGAGGCATGGAAGATGCTTGGTTGTTGAGGTGTGGAAAGGAGAGAGTGAGGACTGGATAGAGAGAATTGGCAGCGCAAGAGGGCTTGAGGAATCAAGACCTCAATGATGGAATCAACACCACCAAAGGCTTGAAGAAGAAACTTTCCAATTAATAGCTCATAGAATGCTGTTGAATATTGGGTCCTGACATGGATATAGAGTGTTCAGACCTAACGTTTTTGAAACCGGTGTGCCAAGGATTATGGCTTTTGGAATTGGAGCACACTTGAGGAATCAATACTTCAGTGATGGAATCAACACCACCAAAATCTTGAAGAACCAACTTTTACGCAATAACCAATATATTGCTCTTGGATGTAGACTCTAAAATGTATTTATACTAGTTCTAAACTATATCTATGGCATAATCGACCACAGTTAGCGCACAGTTTGGGAATGCACTTATATTTGATGGCCCGTGTGAAACATTTGCTATCTCCTAGTTGACCACTACCTCTTTAGGGAGCTCTCGTTGGAGTTCAATTTCACACATACTCGAGCATGTTTCAACTGTCTGTGCTCATTCGTTTTAGATATCCGTGGTGGCAGGTCATCCCACTGTTGCTGCAATTCGACCTAGTGATGAAATTGACCAACAATTATGGGTGGTTCTTGTACACGAATCCATCCTGGCATGGTGCTAAGGACTGCTATTTCTAGTAATTTCCCACCATTCCCTCTCTAAATGTATGTCCCAGACACTTAAGAACTAGGGTCTGTCCTCGAGGACTTCATTTAAATCTTCCCCATGTTCAAACAGAAATAGGATGTGGTTCTTGCCTATTCCTGTGATACCTAATCTCCCTTTTGAGCAACAAATTGATCTAATTCTTTTGAGTGGCATAGCTCCTCTCCATTGAGGAGCTATGCGACTCAGAGGAAATGCAGAAATATCAGTTGTACATTCCTGTGGAGAATACATAAATTATTAACTAGATTCAACTTTTCTACTCTTTCATGTAAGATAGTGCTGTGTCCCGGATATATATCATTTTTTTCCCATTTTAAATCATCTTGATACTCTTTGTTTCCAAGCAGTTCAAAATACTTGTGCGCATCTGTTTTCTCTACTAGAATCTATTCATGGATTATTCTTCCCATTCCTTTGGGCTACGTTTTGTGAATTTTGTGATTAGAAAGCACATGTGCTTGTTGCTTTCTATTTTGTTTGTAAAACTCCACATTTTTATATCATACTGTTCTTTACAAATGGTTTAGAAATAATACTCATATCAGCTTGAGACAGTGACCTAGCAGCATGAAATCATGTGCAGGTTCTGTTCAGAGGTATACGTCGGTGAAGAGGGCCATCAAATCCGCACCTGTTGTGGCTATAGGCGTGGGGCCAAAAAACAATTGCACCGTTGGATCAATGGTGGTTTTGAACATATTCTTGTTCCTGTTGATGCTTACCATCTCCGAACCATGTTCCAGGATGTCATAAAACATGATGAGAGATTCGATTATGAACGTATACCCGCCGTTCTTGAGCTATGCGATCAGGCTGGAGCTAGTATTTCCAGCGCCCATGATAATCATAGTATGAGTTCAAATGGATTGAACCATTCCCATAGTCATAGTCATAGTGGGGATGGGCTAAGCTTGATTATCGAGCAATGCAATCAAACCGTAGCTGATATTTCCAAGACCCTTCATAATTTTAGTTCAAAGGAATCAAGCCATGATCTTCATCATTCAAATGGGTCAAGCTCTGTCAAGAGCTTTGGAGACTTAGTGGGTTTGCCTGAGGAGCTACAATCTATTGCACAGAGGACTTTGGATGCATGGGAGAGGATGAGATTAGGTATTAAGAAGTTGATGTTGGTGTATCCTGTCAAGGTTTGCAAGTATTGTGGTGAGGTTCATGTCGGTCCATCAGGGCACAAGGTGAGACTGTGTGGTTTGTTCAGGCATGAGCCGTGGAGGGGCGGTCATTTTTGGAAGAAGGCGGATTTGGATGACCTGGTGCCACCTCAGGTGGTGTGGCATAGGCGTCCTCAGGACCCTTGCGTACTCTTGGACAATGGGAGGAGCTTTTATGGGCATGCCCCAGCAGTGGTCGAGCTGTGTGCTCAGGGAGGAGCCACTGTTCCCACCAAGTATTTTTGTATGATGAAAAATAATGGTTTGGTACCAAGGTGATTATCTGTAATCTCTCTTTCGTTATTGTTCTAATCCATGCTCTTATCTGTTAATGTTGCCTATTTATGAGTTCCGTGATTCTCTGAAAGGGAGTGTCATAAGCTGAAAGAACCTTTGATTTCAAAGGTACTTTGGCCATTTTTGTTGTTGAGCTCTTTTTGTATTTTTCCATATTGTTCTCTTTTAATAAATTCATGTTGTATGTACCTATGGAAGATAGAAAAGTCCCAGATAGAGAGAATGCATTCCTTGTCATCTGTAAGAGAGTAGCTGTCAATGCATTGACTCATATTTGGGTGGGCTAACTCTTAATACTTTTTAAACCTCAACTCTTATACTTTTTAAAGCATATCACCAACTTGAAAACTATTTTGGTGTTTTTGACCCCAAAAAGTAAACAAGTAGATTTTTTATTTATTTATTAAAATACCCTTTTTCTAAAGGGTGCGGTTTGTATAGAGCTAAGGCTCTAAACAATTAAAGTAAAGTGCACCTTCAAATAGTATCGAGAAATATGGTTTCAATATTGGACATCTTTGTGATAACCTTAAAATATATTTTCATCTTTAGTTATAAAATTTAAAGCTTTAAAAATAGTGTAGATCGAGTGGATATATGAAAACTTGAAAATCTTGAAAATTGATGATCCAAAAATGCATTACAAGATGTACTATTTTCAAAACTTGAAATTTATTTATTTTCTCATGTCCATGCATTTTGATGTTGAGATGATCAATTTGAAGATATTCGGGCATCAAAACTACTTATTTTAGGGAAATTTTTGAGGTGGGCTAATTTGATTGTTTAGAGCTTCGGTTTTAAATAAATTTTTTCCTTTTTTAAATGCATTTTCTTCCTTTTTTTTTTTTCTTTTTTGGTCGCTTTTGAAGTTAGTTAAGCACATGGCTTTTTTTCATTAAAGTCGGTTTGACATAATGTGTTGGACTATCTTACATTTACTAAAGTTGGTTGTCTCAAACCAATTTGTCCCTATTATGTTGGAAGGGTTTTAATAAGGACCTAGAACTGGTGTGGCACAATTTGTATCAGACCGGATCCAATACAGGCAAAAAAAACAAATAGAACCGAGTGTTTGTATAGGGTCTTTTTTGGAAAACAAAAAAGTACTTTTTTTACTTTGGGGTTTAAGAAAAAAAAGAGTTAAAAGTGTTAAGCTGGCAAATGTGATTTAAAAAGTATCGGAAGGGTTTTATAATTTTCGTTATATATGAACCCACATCGTATCGTTTCATCCTCATCTATCAGCATCATTGACCGCCCGCCGCCTCTATTGTTTAAACAATGGATTGCAGAGTTTGAACACGGGTAGCATGCGGCCAGCCCGCATATTTTAGAAATGCGGGCTTGGCAATAAATATGTTTTTTAAATATAATTTGATCTTAATTTTTAGAGTATATATAATCTTTAACATGGAGATCATGAATATGAATTTCTGTTTTTTTGAAAACTAAAAATAATAATTATGTTAAAAAAACATTAGGATTGTTGGCTACAATTATTTTTAGATGGACCACCTATTTTACATCTATCTTTAAGATAGATGCTTTACAGGACCGCATATGTAAAAATATGGTGCATATGTAAAAGTACGGTGCAGCCGGTGTGAAACAATTTTCCTCAGTTAATAGCTAATGATAAAAACAAAGCCAATCCAATAATGAGGGGCAGTATTTAACAGTTCATCACTAAAGAAGCAAAGTTGGCAAATCCAATGTGGGAAAACTCGAGCGAGCCAATTCAGATTCGTCCAAGTATCTCGGACTCGTCACCCTGATGAATCTGAGTATCTCGAGTTGGTTTCTCTTACTCATAATTTTAAAAAAATTCAAAAAAATAATAAAAATCTAAAAAAAAAAAGAAATTTATTTGTAATATGTTTTAATGTTTTCTATCATTTTGGCAAATATTGAGAATGTTTTCTTCATAAATACTCGCTTACTTTTTTTTTAGGGATTATTTCTAAAATACTGCCATGTCATTGATTGATTTTTTAAAATTCATTTTTCTACTATTTTTTTAACGTCATTTAGATGTGTTTTGCTTAATTTTATTTTAAACATAATTTCCAATTTTTTGGACTTTTTTGTATTTTTTTTTTTAAATTTTTTTAGCACTTTTTGACTTGGCTGGGCTCGGCCCAAAAATCGAATTACTCTGCTCGGCCAGGGACCGAGTCTTATGACCCACTGGTGTTTTCAAAGACTGACCAAATCTATGGAGAAAGAGAGATGATGAATACGGTACATGACCAACATAACATGCCATCGTTGGAAGGTAGACCATTAGAACTCCGTGTAGCACGAGTCTTGTGACCCACTGGTGCTTTCAAAGACCTGACCAAATCTATGGAGAAAGAGAGATGAATAAGGTACATGACCAACATAACATGCCATCGTTGAAACGTGGACCATGAGAACTCTGTGTAGCAGTTTGGAAGTAAGACCAAAATACGATGGATAAAATGCTTTGTTCAGATCTTTCTACGAGGCATGCTTACAGATGCGTGAGAGAGAACGAACCGTATGGAAATAGAGAAATGAGCCGGTTCGGAACTTCAAATTCTGAGCTGATTTATCTATTAAAAGTCATTCTAGATCTTAGGGCCTTGAAACGACGGTTTATGTAAGGCATCCACCCACCTTAAACAATAAAGTAAGGTGTACTTTCAAACCTTAGTTTTAGCTCTCATAATGGCTTGAAAGAACTCATAAGAGTTTTCTGTCGGGATATATTAATGGAGGGTGGGATGTTGTGTTGAAGAATCCACCACCCTAACCATTGATACCGCAAACCCATTCCCCTCGGTGGGTCAAGAGTTTCGCAATGAGAAAAACTCGTTTCATTTGACATCAACCCATTCCTAATTTTTTGAACTTGTTTACCGCTGTAACCGCAAAATCATGAATAAGGAACTATTCTAGCTACCTGCTGAATTTATTATAGAAATTTCTGGGATCAATGATTGGACATGCAAAATAGAAATATTTTTCTTCACTAAAGGAATACATGACTTGATAAATTTATGTATCGATGATGATATGTAATGCCTTGGGCCTCTATTTCAAATGTATATCCGATTTATGTGCAGTTGGGTTATGAAAATCGCAACTCGATGTATTGTATATGCCAATTGTCATTATTATATGTTTTTAATTTGACTTATTAATAAAGGTATTTACTTTTATTTTATTTTAGGAAGATGTATATATTGAATTGGACTTCAAACTGTTGCTTTCGTAAGGGTTTTATGAATAGCCACATGTAAGTCACTTCCTCGCCTTGAGATCCGGTTTTAGTTGAACCGAACGCGTCCCTACCTAATTAATTATTGAGCAATGATTCCATGCAACGTAATATGATGTAATAATTTTAAAAAATCGTCTTATGGTCATTTGTTTGTTTCAATTTTTTTTTTTAAATATATATATATATATATATATATATATATATATTCTAATGAACAATTACAAAAAAGAAAAATTTGAAAACACAACTTAGAAAGTATTTTTTTAGCCCAATTAACATAGGCCGTTCATTTTGGTGAGATACTTAAATCTAAGCCTTAAAAGGATTTTTTTATTTCTAATTTTTTTGGATGGCTTTATTATCATTAGATGAACAATGTTAAAAAAGAAAAAAATAATTTTGAGTTCATAAAGGCTAAGATATTGAAGTTCACAAAATGAATGGTTTAGATTCGTTTTTGGAGGGGACTCATTTTTTACCATATCTAGGATTCAAATTGAATTTTTTTTTTTTAGGGATTGATTATTGAGATGAAGAGAGTATGTGTGCAAAAATTAGGGTCATACAAATACCACAAACATGATTTTCTAAAAGTGTCGTTGTATTATACTATGATATAACCGTTGCATTAGATCATTGTTATTATTTGAAACCCATATGTCCAACCAAATTAGAATAGATATATCCAACCAAATTAGTAATCTTAGGGGATGTGTGTATGTACATACTAATATTGATAATTGATTGTTTCAGTAAAAATATATTGATAACAAATTAGATGTGATTTCAAACAAATTAAATTATATGTTGTTTGGTAGTGTTCAATCATCAAGTATGAAATAAACTTATAAGCAGTTTTATTTTCAGGAAATTTATAGATAAATCATGCTTTATTTTTAATATTTGAAAATAATAATTATATATTTTCATATTTTACAATCAGATTTCCTCTAGCGAGAATATAAAGTGTAATTTGATTTTATCTCTTTTTCTTGTACATCAGATTACGATCAAATTTGTTATGTCTATGTTTCTCACTATAATATACATATAAAAATATTTAAAAGTTACCAAATTAGTCAGTCATAAATAGTATAGAGGTAGTTTGGTAATTTTATTTATTTTAAATTATTTTTTGGTATTTTTAATGTGCATGATGATAAGGAGTTTGAAGTTTGAACATATAAATTTTGAGCTTAAAATGAAATATAGAGCAAAAAAGATGAAATTAAAAATGCTTTATATTCTCAACAAATGAGATATGATTGTCAAATATTTTTAAATATAAAAAATAGAATGAAATTTTGTATATAAACGAGTGTTGGAAACCACAACTCGGGCCGAGTAGTTGGCTCCTGCTCGATCCAGTTGGAAACCTAACTCGAGAGAATTCGGGGAACTTGCCAGGTAAGAGACTCGACCGACTAGAAAGTAGTCGACCGCTTTAAGAAATTGCCGAGAGAGCGCGAGTAAGTGGACCGAGTATAAAGTGGACCGAGTAGCAACTACTATACTCGGTCCACTTACTCGTCTCAAATCCATCTTCCGCTCCAAGAACGAGTTGGCCCACCTGCGTTTCCTCTCTCTCTCTGTCTCTCTCTCTCTGTAAGATAAGTATGCGGTGTTGTTGACTTTCCTGGTTGTTGTGAAAAGGGGCAACAATCTCAATCCGAAAAGCGCGTAGACATTTGAAAATCAAACCCTATAAATCCATCCAAAGTCCCCTTTGAAGTACATAAAATCAAACCCTTTCCCTTTCCCTTTCCCTTTCCCTTTCATGTCGATTCCAACTGGAATCCAAGGCCATCTCCTGGAGGTTACAGGTTCTATTCTATTCTAACAAATCTCCCGCTCTCTCTCTCTCTCTCTCTCTTTTGATTTCTGTAATTTCTTTTCCATCATCTTCGTTCTTAATTATTCTTCCGTTTTGTTTCTCTATACACGAACCTAGGGTTTTGCAGTTTGATTGTTACTTACCAATCTAGGGTTTTGCAGTCGTGGGTTGTGCGAAATTGAAAGACACAGAGTGGATCTCCAGGCAAGATCCTTACGTCTGCCTTGAGTACGCCAACACCAAATTTCGTACCAAAACCTGCACAGGTGACTAATATCATTCACTCATTCCTAACAGTTGCCTCTTTCTCTCTCTCTTATTCTTTTTCTGAATGTGATATTACTTCTCTCACTGAGAACATACATCGAGCGCCTTTTCCTTTAACCACCAATCAATGCGCAGATGGAGGCAAAAACCCCACGTTCCAGGAGAAATTCGTCTTCTCTCTGATCGAAGGGCTTCGAGAGATCAACATCACCGTCTGGAACAGCAATACCCTCACCTTTGACGATTTTATTGGCTCCGGAAGGTTAATACAATTTTCTCTCTCTCTCAACACCACCTTATTCTCTACTGATTTTTGTTTCTTTGTTTTAGGGTCCAGATTCAAAAGGTCCTAACACAGGGCTTCGATGATAATCCATGGACACTGCAGAGTAAGAGCGGAAAGTAAGGATACATCTCATTTTCCCCCATTTTATTCTTTCATTTCGTTTCTCTCCAAACACACAAATAGTGATCGTTTTTTTGTTCTTATAAGCTGAACTCCTTGCTGCTCTATATCTTTACAGGTATGCAGGCGAGGTAAAACTCGTTCTTCATTATCCAAAGGCCAACGTAAGTCCCTACTCTTCTTCTTATCCATGCCTCAATCAATCAATCATCAAAATGAATCACTCAAAATCAATGCACGGAAGCCTGAATTTTTTGTGTGAATTGATATATCCACTGTACCCGGACTTGGCCGATTCCACTCTATTAGTACCTGGAAACATGAATTTTTGGTGTGAATCAGGACTTGGCCAAGTGCACTCGGCTTTGCCCTAGGGGCTAGGTGCCCAACTCACCAGGTCTAAATAACTTCTAAAAAAATGCTAATTATGCAAAAAAATAGAAAACATTATTAGACAATGGTATGGAGCGATCTCCTGAACACAGGATTTATATATGCAGAAATCAGGTCATGGTTTGGCTCCATCAGCCCCAATGTACCCATCTCATGGAGCTCAACCACCGTATGTGAGCACCTATCCGCACCCGTATCCCACTCCTTCAACATATCCACCGGTATCCACATCCCCTAGTGGCTATGCCCCACCTCTGACTAGTGCTTCTGCTTATCCCCCACAGTATCCACCTGCTGCTGCTTATCCCCCACAATATCCACCTGCACCCGCTGCTGCTGCTTATCCCCCACAATATCCACCTGCACCTGGTGCTGCTGCTGCTGCTTATCCATATCCTGCCTCACCATACCCACAATCAACATATCCTCCTCCACCTTATCCTCCTCCTCATGGTGGTGCCTTTTATCCAGGTAAGTCCATGCATGGTTGCTTCATTTTGTGCTTTGCCCCTAACCCTTTGACTTTCTTTTTTTTTCCTATTTTTCTTTTTTTTGAGAAAGACCCTTAACCCTTTGCCTTTCTTAGGCACATATCCACCATACTGAAACCATAATGTGATGGAACCCTAAAGTGATGACGCTGTAAACACATTGTTTTGCGTGGGAGGGGATTAAGTGGAGATGCTGTTGTAGCAGTTGATTTGCAGTGAATAGCAGCTTTTGGCAGCAACTAGTCATTTGAGGGGAGTCATCGGCAGCAACAAGTCATTTGAGACCCCCTCTCAGCTTTTGAATGCCAACATATACCATTGAGCTTTTGCATGCCAACATTACTTTTCTAGTTGTCTGGAGAATTGTTTTTTTCATCATTTCTCTGAACTTTGTTATTTGTGCTTTTTCAAGTTGTTCAGTCAACAATCGGTTTGAGTTTCAACTTCTCTGTCGGGAAATAATTGTTGGAAAATGTGGAATTTCAACAATATGATTGTGGAATGCCTTTTTTTTGCCCTTTGATAAATGGTGATCTCCACGTAAGAAAGCTTGAATTTGCAGTGATATTAAAATGCTACTATCCTACAATGAAACTTGAACACGAGAACCAACAAATGGGCATTGAATTCCATCAAATGTAAACTCAAAATTTCACAATTTGGAGTTTTTCCATTGTGATAAAATCTATTTCAACATAAACTTGTCCATAAACCAAACTGAGAAAATGAGACAATGACTTTAAATATAAAGTAGAATGGCAAGTCCAACGGCATTGGATATAGACATTTGACATCATTGGGGTGGTCCAGATTAAAAGTTCAATCTATAAGCCATTTAAGCCATGACTTCTGGCTCTTGAATGGAGCCTACATAAATAAACTCAGAATTGAAGCCTCAAGTTCATTTCATTTTCAAAGGCCATGTTTCCTTGTTAGCGAAGACAAAATCTTTTGTAAACTCTTGATCTCCTGGTCCTTTTCTTGCAGCTTGTGTTGCAGTTGTTCGATCTCCTTTATGTGCTCACACACATTGGACTTGTCTGCTTTTTGCCTCTTGCATTCCCCTTTCATTTCAACTTGGGCCAACCTCTTTTTTAGGATAATAGGAAACTCCTTGGATGTCATTTTACGAACAAAGAAACTCACATTTTGGCCACCTTTCAGCTCAACTGAAACCAGTTTCTGGGGTCGCCCTCCAGAGTCCTGCAACGGAGATAAAAAGCGTTCAATGGCATAACTCAAAATTTCACAATTCACATAATGCAGTTTAAAATAAATCTGACATGGGTAATTTATTGCTCTTCACCTGACAAATAATCACTTAATGCTTGCCTTTTTCTTATTTTTTAGAAGTGATACGCTGCTATACTAATTGATATAAACATCAGTGTTCCAAAAACCAGACAGCAGCACCTAACCCCCAAAGACAACATATCGTTCGTAAGAGAGAGAGAGAGAGAGAGAGAGAGAGAGAGAGATAGATGGGGAAGGCAGACATGCCCCCAAAGACAACATATCGTTCGTGAGAGAGATGGGGCAATATAATCTTTACAAGTGTGTGTGTAACCGAGAGATAAACCTCCAAGAGGCGGGGGAGAAAAAGAGACACCCTCCAAATGCTTCATGACATTTTTAGGCTTAAATTATATTTACTTTTATCACATTTAGGGGTTAGGATTTGAAAATATGGCACCTCAAAGATATTCCCCCCAAATGTCCAATGAAATATCTTAGCATCTCTCTCTTTTTTTTTTATACACACACAATAACAAGGTAAAAAACAGCAACAAAAATGACAACACCAATGACGTCATGAAGAAGAGACACAAACGGGCCAAACCTTAGGCTACGCATGTGCCTTGGGCTTCTGTGCGCATCAAGGCACTGCCTAGGCATGGAGCCGTGCCCCCTTCAATACAATCTCCATTTCTTAGTCAATAAGAGACATTGGAGATGAACCGTACCTCCATATAAGTCTTGCTAGTGTGCACACAAGAGTTAAAGAGTTCATATCCTTCCTGTTAAACAGGGTGGAGATTGCATGTAGTATAATAGACATTCATATTCCATTTTTCCTTTTTCTGTTTTTTTTCTACTTTTAGGGATTGATCGGTAAGAATGTCGTTGGATCACATCAATGAAAGTACCTTTAGGAATGAAATTCCTTAAAGAATAAAAAGATGAAACAATATTACTAATAAATCAACAACTCCACAGCCCCCTCCTCCCCCACACTCGGTGCCAAAAACACAAATCCCCAAAATGCAAAAACCAAAAAAAATCGCCCTCGCTACAATTAAAACATGAAATTGTTGAAGTCAGGCCAACACAAAATAGAACTGCAATATTTAGACCTCATCATTGCCCATTCACAAGAAAGCAGAATTTCTACCAACATTAAGTGGTTTGTTAGGTTTCCCGGTATTAATTCAAGGTTTATCACTTCCACAATAAAACTGTTGTTAGCATTATAGAGTACACTAATTAATAGACTAGAAAACTAAAAGCTCGTACCTCTCCCAGCTCACCATCTAACATATCAAATGCTTTGCTCGCCCAAGTAGGATCCTTGAAAATAGCAAATGCAGACTGATTTGATTTGCTTGTTTTGAAGGGCTGCATGAGGAACTTTTTAGCATGGCGACAAAAAAGCCATCTTTATGTCTAACATTTAATAACACAATTGATTGCATATGAACACAAATGGTACGAACCTGAAGTTCAACGGTATCCATGTCTGGAAATATTTTAAGCAATTCCTTGAGGGAGACAGTTGCAGGCAACTTGTGAATAAGAAGCTTAGTCAAATCACTTTCAGGGGTATCCTACATTAAGCAAAGACTGATATGAGCTACGAAGATGTGCATCTGATGACACTCAATGGGCTTCAGACAGTGTCTCAGAGATTTGGTACAAAATGCACGACACTAATAACCGCCAATTACCAAGGTTTGAATCCTAGATAAAATAACAGAAACACAAACATATTACTTCCAACGGCTTCAGTAGGTTAATGCTTCAACTTAGAATTGCAAAATCAAAATCATTTTACTTCCGACTGACATCTTTGAGCGGCACTGCAATGGGTTCATCAAATCCGTGCTCTAACTTCGCAAGAACCAGCTTCATCGTTGCTCGTGCATCATCCATGCAAACATGTGGAGCACCTTCCTTTCGAAGTTCAAAACCTAAGACCAACTTGACCATTTGTAACAAAAAACATGTTAAGATTATACAAAATAGCAAATAGCACTGAGGAGTGTGGTATCAACAAAGCAGTAAGGTTTGTACAAGGTTCTCTTTAATAAACAGATAAAAAGGAAATGCTTGAAAAATCACGACAAGTATTACATAGTAATCAGACATGCCAATCCAGTCCACAGACAAAAGATACATCCAACTATGACATTTGTATTGATTTATTATCAGCCTTCTGTGATGCAAATCACAAACTGGTCTATTCCCCATGACTAGGTAAGATATTTTCTAATAACGACATCTGGACGCATAAATATAACATTTTCAACGAACAACAAACATCATCACTGTCTGAACATAATATCATAAATGGCACTAAAGCCAAGATTGGGGTAAATTTTTTAGCCATGTGCTTAATTTGGATTTGGGTTTAACACCTGGTACATGTTGACCTGTGGGCAGCAGAATAATAGACGATCCCATTTTGGTGAATCAGAAATATTTCCTTTTACATAAATTAATATTTATAAAGGCACAGATATGTATATATGCATGTATGTACATATACAGAATCTATGCTACCTTCTAATTGTCTTAAAATGTGCATTTGCCAGTCACACAAGACATCAGGGCCCTCAATTCCATTAAAAAAAAAATCTAATATGCAATTATCAATATCCACTTGGTATCCCTTATCGATATCCATCCATGTAAGTGAACCCCAAAAGCAAGGAATTCACTATAAACCCCATCCAAGTTTATTCAAACTCCACTCTACACCTCAACCTAATATTAGAAAATGATTTCAGGCTCAGACTCCAGTGAGTAGCTCAGACTTGGGAGCCTGCCAGGTGCTAGATGGGGCTGCGCTGGGAGGACCCAAGGCACTAAAATAACTGCTTAAAGAGATCCGATGGTTCTATGTTAGACTCGCCTGAGATGCCGAGTCTACTCTAAGCCCACGTGAATGTCCGGCAAATATTAATTATTTATGTACGATAAAGGGTATTTTCATCAAAAAAATGTTCTTTTTTTACTCTTTGGGGGGGTATTTGTTAGGAAAATATATTTTAGGGTAAAAAGTAGGAAGAAAAGTTTGGTTGAGGGTAAGTTGCATAGGAAGTCTATTCTTGTTTTGTAATTTTCCCTTTCTTTTTTATATGCGTTGCATTTAGCAAAGCCAATCCCCCATCCAAATGAGATCCATCTGTTTGCAAATAACAATTTTTTGACAGACAAAAAAAAAGCAAGCATTTTTGTTTTTGGCATCGCGATGCTTCCAGTTTATTTTTAATTTTTTAATGTGTGCTTCAAGTTTACTTTTTTTATATGCATTTGCATGTCTGTCGCATTTAAGGATGTCAACCCCCACCCAAAGGCAATTTGCTTGTTTACAAATAACTATTTTTCCAAAGAAACATAGAAATAATGTACTTATATTTTAGAATTGTTTAGTGTGAGCTGAATTCCCTCAGTAGTTTGGGCTACTCCTTGTGTAGGTAGTGGCTAGTTGCTTAGTTGACACTTGCTACATGCCAGAGTTTTCAAGTAAGTCCAAGGGGAATGAGGATTCTGATCGGGAGTATGGGGAGAGGGTTTTTGCCACGAGGTAGGATATTGTAAGATGCATCTTTTGTGAGAAGGAGGTGAGTGTGGAAGCAGCCTGAAACACCACTTAGTCAAGGTAAGAAGCGATGTTGAGCCCTGTGACAAGGTCCCTATGAACATAAAGGAACAAGTGCCAGCATAAGCCATAACAACAAAGGAGGCTGGTAAAAGGGAGATGATTGAGAGGACTGGAAGGGAATACGTACGCCCACTTGAGGGGGGGAAGATGATAATGAGTTTGAGACCCACCCTGAGTATGCACGGACGACAAGTTTAAAAGATATGCACCACCAGCACAGTGGCATGGGAATGTTTGAAGGCAGGGGTCATCATGAGCTAGCATTAGTTATGTTGTTGATTACATGGGGTTTGCGCATCATGATGGTTTTGGTCTTTGTGGATGATGCAGAGGGGTGCGGGCCAAAGAGCACAAGCTAATCAACTTAGTGCACTCAACCCACCCAACACACCCAGCCTAAAACCAGAGTCAGACTAGAAGTCCATAAAGTTCAGTTTTACTAACATATGAGGAGTGCATGAAGGTTGTTGCATAGATCTTTGATGCGACCATTCCTTTCAACACAGTGAATAATAAGTATTGCGAGCCCGTGATATCTACTATAGATAATTCCTTTCAATGCAGTGAATAATCAGTATTGTGAGCCCATGATATCCACTATAGCTAATGCAAGGCTTGGAATCAAGCTCCCACCAGAATCTGCCTGGATGATGAAGTGACTGAGGTAGATATTTTCGTGAAAGCGTACAAGACTGTGGTAACAATAATATCATATGATTAATTTCTTGGTATAATGTTCATGAAGGTCTAGGTGGGTACTAAAGATAAGGTCAACAATGGTATGGCCCTAAATAGAGCAGCATGACATACTAGGATTCGTATAGCCGACCCCAATTAGTTGGAAAAAAGCTCTGATGATGATGAATGGTATGTTCTTTTTCAAGCAATAGGAGTAAAGATGTTGGGAGCGGAAGAGGGAGCCGGAGCACGGGATCGGCACTTGGCTAGAGCACCCTACCCTTGGAGCGATCTCGTATATATAAACTACATGTATATGGGAGCGCAAGCGGAGCGTCCCATATATATATATATATATATATATATATATATATA